ACCAAGTTCAGGTATGATAAGCTCTGTCCACAGGCCTCTAGGAAGGGAATGCTAATTGTAGGGGAGTGGGTGAATGAAATCCCAAGTGGGAGAGGACAGGGACTCCCCAGAGCTTTAAACAGCTTCCTTCCTTAGAACCATATCAAAATACAAAATTTGATCAGAGCCTTTTGGTGGACTCACAAGCGTCCAGACTTGGAAGTGCTACATCCCCTCTGCAGATGCCCCTGTGTTTGTCTTGGTCCTTGGGCTACTCTGGCCCACCTCGAGGGATGGCTAAGCTTAAGTCCCAGCGTTACAGCTCTGAGGAGGAGCAGTGACAGTGTTCTTCCTTACACAGAGGCATGAATCAGACCCAGTGCCTGCCCCAGCCCCACAGCTACAAGGTAGAGAGGAACAAGGGCTATGGGGAGCTGAAATATTCACTCAACAATCATTCTCTAAGTTTCCACTATCCTCTGAAGCCAGAGGTAGGCAAGGGCTATACTGAAATTTAATTTCACAGAACATTTGTTCAGTGTGTGCCTTGGCACTGGGCCCAGTGCTAGGTGCCAGAGGGTTTCAAAAAAAAAGAAGACACATACCTTCCCTCCCAGGAGACGTATTAAATGAGCAAACACACAAATCAATAGGGAATTGCAATTTGTAACAACAGCTGAGAAGAGACAGCCAGAGGAGACTCAGATGGGTGTGAGTATGGGGGTGGGGGGGGAATGGAAGGCAAGTCTTCTGGAAGAAAGTGACCTTTAAAGGAAGACATGGAGGATCAGTTTGCCAGGTAAACATCAGGAAGCAGGAAGGAGAATTCTAGACACAAGGCAAGCATGTGGGGGAGGGGACTAGCCCTGCTGCAAGAGGCCTTGGGCCAGGTAAGGCTGGACAGGGTTAAAGGTCTGATTGTCCCATTCCTCAGACCTTTGAGAAGTGTGGACCTTATTTGAAGAGCCATGAAAACTCAGGAAAGGGGTTAAGCAGGATCATTTGGATCTCTAGAAATACTCAGGTTTGCAGCAGGTACGAGAACTTATAAGAATGAGTGAAGGAGCCAAGACACTGGTGGCTCATGCGTTTAATCCTAACTACTCAGGAGGCTGAGATCTAAGGATCATAGTTCAAAGCCAACCTGGGTAGGAAAGTCAGTGAGACTCTTATCTCCAGTAAACTACTCAGAAAAAACTGGAAATGGTAGAGGGCTTACATTGAGCACAAAGAGGCTCATGGGCAGCAGTGCCCAGGTCCTGAGTTCAAGCCCAGGACTGGCCAAAAAAAAAAAAAAGTGTAGGAAGCTTTCATGTCTGTGTTCTAAACATGTGTCTATGCTTTTCCCAAGTTGAATTCTTTGCCTACAAGGCCTTCCCCACCCTGTTTTTCTACCCAGTCAACAATACCCAGCATCATTAACAACAGAGGACACTTTTTTTTAAACTTATTTCTTCCTGTCTTACATCATAGCCCAGGACATACCCTGTGCTTTGTTCTCAACATCAGTGATTATTTACAAGCTAAAGTCAGCCTTCCTTCCCACACTCGGAAGGGATAGAAAGTGCCCAGGCCCCTGCACTCCCTACTAGACTAGGGTTGGAGCTATATAGTACCACCTGCTGGCAGAAAGCAGAATAGCAGGAAACAAGGGGCCCCTGGAAATGGTCCTCAAGGCCCACTGGAGCTTTTCTGGAAGTTAAGTATACAGCTCTAGCTAGATGGAGGGCTTGATGCTTCCTTGTAGGAGCTGAGCTGGGAACAGGAGGAAGGAGCTTAATGTTGCTGGAACAGATAGCTGTGTGAGGACCTCCTGGGACCAGGGATCATTCTCAAAGCCAGCTGTCCATTTACATCCTGTGTCCAGGATAACTTGTTTTGCTCCAATATCTGAGACTTTGGCCTGGAAGCTGTGTTTTCCTCTTGTTGATCGCCTGATGTCCTTCCAAATCATCCTCTTCCTACTCTGATCCCAAAGCAAAGTCCAGCGAGTCTTTGCCTTTCCCTGGATTATAGGGATGGAAGGGTTAAGGGCTGAGGACAGGAGAGACCAGGTTGTTCTCTAAGTTGGGGGTAGGGGAGATGTTTCTGGCTGGTGGGGTCCTTGTCACAGCAGGGACTTCCCTATGTGCCTCATCTTGGATTGTTCTTCCCTTGGTGCCTGGGACATCCACTTTGCTGGGGCTTTGTCTTTCTCTTCTATCCTGTCCCTTCTTCCATTCTGTTTCCTCTTCCTTTGAGACACTTATTTGTTGGGGCTGCATTCTGGTCCCTTGTTCTCTTTCTTTCTCTTATTTTGACACTCACATACACATGTCCTAGGGTGGCCATGAGGCAACACCATCTGAGTAGCTGCCCACGCCAGAAACAGCCTGGGAGTTATCTCCTTCATACCCTCCCCAGCTAGTTACCATTCTAGAAACCACACCCTGGCTTTTCTACCTCTTAAACAGGACTCAGATCCATCCCCCACCCCACCCCCAGGTCTCCTCACAGGCTGTGGCCCTGTGGCAGCCTCAGATCTCCTTTCTCCTTCCTGACACCCCTTCCATTTCCCCAAATGCAGACTTGACCATGTAGCTGCCCTGCTTAAAACTCCCTCACCCCTCAAAAAGGCACCATGGGTGTTTGTGAAACCCAGTTCCATTCCTTACATTCCAACAAGCAGTTCCTGGGCTGTTCATTAACACACAGTAAACCTTCTTCAGAGCATGCCCAGAGATTCTGACCTTTAGTTGGGGTGGGCAGGGGGGGGGGTGGGGGAACAGGATTCACATTTGTACAAGGCACCCCGGATCCCTTCAGAACAGCCTAGTTTTGGATGGTTCATGGGTCTACTGCTCATGCATACATGCAGGTGTGTGCATGTACACACGCACGTGCACACACACACACACACACACACACACACACACACACAATGCTGGTGCAGGGCTCCCATCGGCACACTAGCCCTAGTCCTACAATAAAGGGCTTCCAGCAGGCCCTACAAGCAATAGTTTGGTGACTGCAGGCTGGGACCAGGAGAAGCACCCTACTCAGGCTCTAGCTTCTCAGGACTGTTCATCTCTGAAATTGTTCCTAGTCTGCTAGCATTTCCTTCCTTCCTTCCTGCCTGCCTGCCTGCTTGGCTTCCTTCCTTCCTTCCTCTTGGTCTTCCTTTCCTTAATTATATTTTCCTCCCTCCCTCCCCACATTTCCTGCCTATCTTCCTTTTCTTTTTATCTCAACAGGAAGCAGTGTTTGTTGCTGAGGATGGTGAAGGTGGGACACACAGAGGGGCCCCTCAAAATCTAGGCCCTGCCACTTGGCTAAGGAACAATGGGATGTATTTGACCCCACACATGTCTTCAGATTCATTAGCATTAGCTAGCAGCTCACACCTGTAATCCTAGCTACTTGAGAGCTTGGGAATGGATAAGTTCTAAGCTAGCTCCGGTGGAAAAGTCCATGAGATTCCATCTCAGTGCAAGAAGCTGGGAATAGTGGTTGTGTGCTTGCCATCCCAGCTATGGTGAGAAGTGAAAAATAGGGAAGTTGTGGTCCAGGTGTATGCTTGGGTAGAAAGCAAGACCCTATCTCAAAAATAACCTATGTAAAACAGTATTAGAGGTGGCATGTAAAGTGTCCACCCAGAAAGCACAAAGTCCTGAGGTCCTGAGTTCATACTGTAGTGCTGGGGAAAAAAATCATCTTCATTTGGTGAAACCCAATGTCTTTGGGATGTGGATCTACTGGTAGTCAGCAAGGGAACTTGAACTTGGCCCTACAGAAGGCCTGAACCACATGCTCCCTGTGCTGCATCTTGATGGAGATCGCTATGATAAATTGTATCCATTTGTCAATGTTAAGGGCACCTATGGAGCCTTCCATAGGTGCCCTGGATTCATGTCCGGAGCCCAGACTGACAACAGCAGATCCACAGCATAAAAATCTGTTCGAAGAGCTGTCTCCAAAGTCCTTTAGAGACCTCTCCCTGTGCAAGAGGCTGCAGAGAAGGCTGTGTTTGCCATCCTTGTGCATCAAGCTCCCATAGGACAAGAGCCTAGCCTGGATCTCATATCTCTAAGCTTCCTGTACTCTGGGGTGGTTGAGGTGAGTAGGCCCAGTGTGTGATCCTTGGCCTTAAGCCTCAATAGATACTTGGGTCATCTTAAGATCCCAAGCTGCTGGGCTGCTGGGTGCCATCTGACCCAGATGGGAAATTTTTGCCTCTTCTGAAGTGTCTAGCTCCATGACCCCTGTGGGTAGGTGAGCTTTCTCAGTGCTGTGCTTGGTACAGATCGGGCCTTGACACCTGGGAGCAGTCTTCCTCTGCCCTCCACAGCAGGGCTCCCCACCGCCTCTTATGACAGACGATCTTAGGGCAGATGTGGAGGCCTTTGATCTGGTGCAAGGGAGGCCTCCTGCTTGTCTCTAGGAACCACAGGGGGCCAAGAGTCAGTTCAACGTGGCTGTGAGAGGGCATGGATTTCGGGAGCCACTGGGATACTCAGGAGTTGGGAGGGGGTCACTGAAGGCAAGCTGTGTCACCCGGGTCTGGTTTGGATGGAGGTATCAGGACAGGAGAGGGGGAGAACACGAAACAGAACTGGTTCTAGGGGAAGTGGGGGAGCTTCAAGACTTCCCTGGGCCTTGGGGATTTTCTCCAGGCTTCCTGAGACAGCCAGCAAAAATGCAGTTCCACTGCCAGCTTTCCCCCAAGCCCCACCCACTGGGCTTCCCCAAGGTAGGAGTGACAATGTATCACTCTTTTCCCCAGAGACTGGCCCCACGACAAGGAAAGGTGAGCTCAGATACAGACTCTGGGGCTTGCAGAAGGCTAGGACTCTCCCCATATCTACTTCCTTACCTGGCCTCTGAAGGGTAACCCTCGAATGCTGGCTCAGTGGGCTGGGCCCTGGCCAGAAAGGCCAGGCTCATTCTCAAGGGAGGGAGGGAAGGAGGGCAGTTTCTCTTTACTGCCCGCCCTCGCCTCTTCCCTCCCTTCCTCCCTCCCTCACCTTCTTCCTAACCAGGTCATCTCCAGAGCCAGATTACCAGGCTGAACTCAGGCAAACACTCCAGACTCTTCCAGGCAGCTCCAGAAGTGCAGACACCAGCGGACAGACGGAAGATCCCCGAGCTGCCTGCAGCCATGTTGGCTCTTAGTCTCGTGGTTCTGGGCCTGCTCACTGCAGTGCCACCTGTGAGCTGTCAGCAAGGTAGCCCTGGACAGGGAAATGCCCTGGTGGCTGCAGGGAGGAGTGGGGGGGGGGGTGGCTGGTCTGAGCCCTGTCGACCCAGAAAATGGTGTGGTGCCCTGATTTTCCTCACCCCCTGGACACCTGACTTTGGAGGAAGAAGAGCAGGGTCTGCATGAAGCAGAGAAGCCAAGCCCAGACCTCGGCACCAGGCTCGCCTCTCTGTGGTTTGTTTCCCATGGGGGGAGGGCAGCAGAAGCTGTGTTGGGTCAAGGATTTGAGGGAGGGAGAGGTGTTAGATGCAAGCCTCAAATGGCCCTAGAGATTCTGGGGTCCACGGGCTCCCCTTAGGGCAGGGGGGCCAGAGCTGCCAGAAGGGTGGAGATGAGGCTCAGGCTCACTCAGGGGCAAGCCCAGTGCTGTCAGGACTTTGTCCATGGCTTTGACTTAAATGCTTATTGTCTCCATTCCCCCCACCCCCACCCCACCAATCTGAGTTCTTGACCCAGCTCTATCTTGGTCTTGCTGTATGACCTGGAGGAAATCACGGTTCCTCTCAGAGTCTTACAAAATGAGGACCATAACCTCCCAGAGCTCCTGCCAGGTCAGGATGTGGAAGAGCTTGGTGCCCAGGGAAGCACCACATCACAAGCTCTGGCATCCACCCCACCCTGTCAGGCTGCATCTGTGGCTACAGCCTGGTGAGTGCGATGAGACATGGGTCCAGAGCCCGCTGGCAAACATGCTTTCCCCTTCCAAGCTCTCGTGTCAGTGTGCTTTAGTTCTCTCTTCTTTATCTTGGAGGCCTCTGGCAACCAGAGAGGCCAAGTAACTTACACAGGACACACAGCAAGACAAGAAGGGACAGGATTCAGATATTTTCTCTTGTCTCTGCCTCTTTCTCTTTGGGCCCTAGAACCACAGGGCAGGAGGAGCAGGGGATTGTGGTCTCTGGTATATAGAGGAAATTTGCTGCAAGGCCTGGAGGGATGAGGAAAGGGCTTTACAGGATTGCCTACAAGCCTTGAGTTGGAGCTAAGTGAACGAATGTGACCACAGACCAAAGAACGCCACAGCCCTCCTTTCCCTCCCAACATCCACCAGGCTCAGGGAGCTCCAAGAAGAGGCAGGACCTTTACTGCTACAGGGCAGACTCAAGGGAGGACTTTCAGATGAGGATGAGGCAGAATGGAGACTTTTGATGCCCAACCTAGACCTCTCATCACTTAAGATGTTTCCAGGGATCGAGGTATTTTGTCTGGAAGTAGGACCCCCCCCCCCCCAAAAGCTCCTTGGTGGCTTCGTGCCCTCCTGGGACACCTACCTACTGACTATCTTTTCCCTGTCTGGTGAGGACTTACAGACTCATGAGGCACAGTGGTGCCAGAGGAAGGGGAAAGAGCCTAGAAGCTACCCGTGGTTTGAAGGCAGAGACTTCTGGGAAATCTGGAAGACTGCATTTTGTATCCAGGGTACATGGTTGGGGCCTGGATCAGTTCTCTGGCTCTAGTGCTCTGGGCACCCAGCTGGAAGAGTACAAGTGGCTTGGATCTTATCTCTGCCCCCCTCTTCTCTTATATCACTGGGTACAACTAGCTGAGCAGCTGCCTGCTATGACTTCATGTTGCCAGCTCCTCCCAGAGAAACCTTTTGTTACAGAACAGGATCTTCCAGATGCCAGCCAGGAAGGAGGAGAGGGCCCACTCCCAGCTGGCAAGGTCTAGACCAGGCACCCAGGACACTACCTTTCACTCCCTGGGCCCCAGGCACTCCCTGGGGGTCCTGAACATGACACCAGTGGAGGGAATGTGGCTCTTGACAGTCTGGATCTCAGACACAGCACTGAGTCCTGTTTCCTCCTTGGCTGCTCATGTTTTTCTCAGACAACTGTCTTCCTCTAGACCTCTGTCCCCAAGTCCACCCATTCTTCATGCTCAGTGGGATCAGATGGGTCCCAGACACCCAGAATGTCTCCTGTAGTCCTGCAGTGGCTGACTGCCTCCAGCACAGGCCCATTGGAAGCAGAGGCCCCTCCCCCCATGTTCTATACTTTTAGCTCCCCTTTTCTTTCCAGGTCTGGGGAACCTCCAGCCCTGGATGCAGGGCGTCATTGCTGTGGCTGTATTCCTGGTCCTCGTTGCAATTGTCTTTGCTGTTAACCACTTCTGGTGCCAGGATGAGCCGTAAGTGCTGCCCAAGGGCCTTGGGCATGGGCAGGTTTGAGTGGGTGCCAGGAACACCACTCTCCTTCTCTAGAAGGATAGAAGAAACCCTGGCAGGTCTTCTCACTGTGAGGAAGGGAAACTGGGTCTCAAGCTCATAGGGTGACTTCAAGACAGTCAGAGTTAGATCTCAGGCTCGCTGGTTTAAGACCTGTGTTCTTTAGCCCCACATCTCCAGTGCTCTTCCCAGTGAGATTTGGAGAAATGTCTTCTCTTCTTGGAGTCTCAAGGCTTCTTTCATTTGCAGAGTTGGGATAGCATCCTTGCCTTCCTTCTAGAATGGAAATTCTCATCCTTCTGGAGAGTCAGCTGCCAATCAAAGAGGCCTCACAGACTGGATGAACAATCCCAAGTTCAAGGGCAGCTGAAGGAACGTGCAGTGTTCACCTCAGGGCCCAAGCTGGTCCAGGGAGTTCAGAGGTCTCCTTGACTGCACATTTGTCCCAAAGCCTAAAGCACAGGGAGGAATCGGGGAACATAGTGGCATGGGAAAGAGCACACCTGGGTCCTGAGTTAAAGATTTAGCACCATGGCCACGGAGCACAAAGGTCAAGATCCTGCTGGGCAAGGCTGCATCTGGACTGGGACATTTTTCTCAGCTCTTACAAAGGTGACCCGATGGGCCAGGGTGCCAAGAGCAGCTCTGCATGGCTTGAAATGGAAACATAAGCAACTCAGTGAGTAGAGAGAAGAACAGAGATGCCCGGGATGAGGCTGGTGAGGTAGGCAAGACCTAGGCTAATTGGCACCAATGGGCTTTAATTTAGTGCAGCAGGAATCCAGTGGGATGCTTTCAAAGCATGTGGCATGGCCTCAGCAGTCACTCTGGTTGTCGGGTGGCAGATGTATGGTAGTGAGCATGAAGAGTCATAAGGAGGTTGAGCATCTCTAGACAGTCTGGCTCTAAAGGGAGAGAGGCAATGCAGAGAGGGGAGAGGTCTAAGAGCTGGTTAGAAGGAGGACCCATGATAGCTGGACTGAGGTAGGACTCAGACTAGGAACCAGGGAGTGATTTAGGAACCTCGAGGCAACAAACACAGAGGTGAGAGCAGGTTTGGGGGTGACTACTGAGTTTAACTTTGAATCTGTGTGGGACATCTAGGGACAGAGGAACAGAGGGCAGGGTCCCTGTGGCCCAGAGTAGTCTCTGGGGTGGGGCAAGAGTCCACACTGTAGGGAGTTCACACTTGAGTAGGTGATAAGGAGCTTCCTGTAGGAAATGCTTTGTTCTCCACTGAGCCCAGCTCTGCCTTAGGTGTCCATTGATCACATCTGTTCCTAATTTGGAGCAGACCCTGAGACCTGCTGGGGTCTGCTTTGAGGTTGCTGAGCTAGAGGAGTTGAAGAGGCAGTGGAAGGAGGCCTTGGACGTAGGACAAGTCTTTCTCAAATCTCTGCTCCCTCATTATGAAGATCATGTAGGCCAGAAGCATGCCATGGGGGAAACCCTGCTGGGTAGAGGTGCTTCTGCCTCAGGGCTTTGAGAACCAGAATGTAGGGTAGGATTTGCTTGAATGGGGTTTGCAGGTGGTACTGATGAGCCCTAAGCATGATCTTCATTCCCAGGGAGCTCGCGAATGTGGTCATGACTGTTGGAAACAAGGCAGATGGAGTCCTGGTGGGAATGGATGGAAAGTACTCCTCAATGGCATCCAACTTCAGGTGAGGTGCTGGTACAGGGCTCCCTTCCTGTGCTCTAGGGGCCATGGGGGAGGGCAGAGGGCGGGAGTTCCCACAGGGACGGGGTGATGAGGAGAAGCATTAGCGAGGTCCACTATGTGAGGACCACAGAGTCCTAGGGAGCAGATGAAGCCTACATGAGGAGAGGGATCTGTAATAGAGGAGGGGGCCCCAGAGAAGTGGGAGATGGGGCTTAGGGAACTGGTGCTGAAGGTCTTCCAATCTAGGTTCACAAGCCCAGAGTTGGTGCAAGTGCAAGAAGGGGCAGGGAGAAGGTGGGCTGGGAGGCCCGGGGACCCACCAGGACCTGCCTTCTCCTCTCTCAGGTCCAGTGAGCATGAGAATGCCTACGAGAATGTCCTGGAGGAGGAGGGCAAAGTCCGCAGCACACCCATGTGACTTGGTTGGCCTGTGACCCTCAGCTGGGGCCTCTCACGTGCCTGTGGTGACATCCACCACCCTTCAGCCCCTTCTCTGTAGGAATCTGCAACAATAGATCAACTCCTTCACCTGACAACGTCATTTGAGGCTACAGCCAGGCTGGGGCCCTGGGGCCCTCCTGGGGATCTCTTATCCAATACAGAAAAGGACAGCCAGCTCAATACTTCCCACCCTACTTCCCATCTTCCTCACCATTGTGGACATGGCCCTTATTTCTGTGAAATAAAGACCTTTTGTACTTCCAGGCTGAGCTTCTGAAACAGCCCTCAGACTTGCAGGTTGGCCCTGTCTCCCCATCTCAATCAGGACAATCACCTTCGAAAGCCATTGTCATGGTGGCTTTGGAGATTACCCAGGAAGCTCTGGGATCTCTGGACAGCTGGAGCCAAAGGGTCCAGGCTAAAGAGGCTGAGAGCTCTACATCCAGGTAGAGATCAGAGCTGGGGTCTCTACCATGCATGGAGGAGTTGGGGAAGCAGGAAAGCCAGAGACCGGTGAGCCTACCCCGGCCTGTGGGTCATCCTTGTCTCTTGGAGACTCATCTTCCTTTGGCTAGAGCAGTTAGAAAAGCTTCCAGGCAGGGGACAGATCTGAGTGCCCCCAGGATGATTCTAACAATGGTCAGTTTCAAGATGTGTCTTAGGTTCTTTCATGTACCTAAGGCTGGAAGACGGTCTCAGGGGCTGGAAGACGGTCTCAGGGGCTGGAAGACGGTCTCAGGGGCTGGAAGACGGTCTCAGGGGCTGGAAGACGGTCTCAGGGGCTGGAAGACGGTCTCAGGGGCTGGAAGACGGTCTCAGGGGCTGGAAGACGGTCTCAGGGGCTGGAAGACGGTCTCAGGGGCTGGAAGACGGTCTCAGGGGCTCGTGGGCTGGGGACTGTCACTCTGCTCCTGTTTCAGGCATAGCCCTTCCTGTCAGTCGCGTCCCCCTTTCCACCTTCACCCAGATTCTGGGGTCCTTCCTTGTGCATGGTCACCACCCCACCTCTGTGCTGCCTGCACTACACTGGGTTCATCTTTCATCCTCCCAAGTGCAAGGCTGTGGCCGGGAAAGTCTGGGACTGTGATCACAGAGCCCAGATTTGTCTCCTTGGTCTCTTGCCAACTTGCTATGCGATCTTGAGAGAACTTCTATCCACTCTGAACTCTGCTTTCTCTGAGGGGGATCTGGCCAGTCTCTTCCCAGAGCTGGAGCCCTCACCAAAGACTCTGACTTGACTTCCTATCCTGGGATGGGGTGGAGGTCAGAAAATGGGGTCCTACAGGGAATAACATGGAGGAAGCGGGCAGATGAGAGAGGAGGGATGCCTGAGCGCCTGGCTGTCCAGGGACCACCTCTGTGACTAGCTGGATATTTTTGTTGTTACTGTTGACATGGGGGTTAAACTCAGAGCCTGGACATTCTCCCTGAGCTTTTTTTGTTGTTGTTGTTGGTGGTCATGGGGCTGAACTCTGGGCCTGAACGCTGTTCCTCAGCTCTTCAGCTCAAGGCTAGCACTCTACCACTTGAGCCACTGTGTCACTTCTGGTTTTCTGAGTGGTTTATTGGAGATAAGAGTCTCACGGACTTTCCTTCCCCGGCTGGCTTTGAACCAGGATCCTCAGATCTCAGCCTCCTGAGTAGCTAGGATTTCAGGCATGAGCCACCGGCACCTGGCTGAGCTTTTGTTTTTAAGGCTAGCTCTACCTCTTAAGCCACAGCTCCACTTTTAGCTTCTGGTTGGTCAGTTGAGTTTTCCTGCCTGGGCTGGCTTCAAACTGAAATCCTCAGATCTCAGCTTCCTGAGTATCTAGGATGGCTAGAGCCACCCATGCCCAACTGTGACTATCTGTCTTAAGGGAACAGCTTCTGTCCCACTCCCTCCATATAGAGTTGCAACTGGAGCCAGTGTCACAGGGAAGCATTCCTAAATCCACAGATGAGTGGGGCTAGAAGCAGGAGGCAGTGCCCCTTGTCCCAAGATGGCCCTTGGGTGAGTCACCTGACTCACTCTGTCACAGCTACCTGGCTTCACTGACACAGTCATTCCTTTACTGTCCAAGGCTCACCTGAATGCCCAGGAAGGCACACTTTATGAAATCAGAACCGCCCTCCTCATCTTGGTGGGCTTTGGGATGCATCCTGAGGCACACAGGACCAGTGTCTGGTCTAGATCACCTTGGCCTTGCTGTATAATCAGTCAAGTCACCTCCCCTCTCCGGGCTTGTGCTTTATGAATTGTGGCTGTTGCTCCTGTGATTCATAATCTAGGTTTTTAGGCCTCTCATGACTCATATACCTTCTTCCGGTTTAAATCCGCCTAGCTTTTCCCTTGGCCTAGCCAGGGTTCTTCCTCCTTTAAGAAATCTTCCTTGATTAAAACAGAAGACAAAAGCAGGTGACCGGCAGCCCAGATTCTCACCCACTGAAGGAGAGACAGAGATTCCTAGAAGCCAGGCCTCTGCTAAGTCACAAAGGTCCCTTTTACCTTCCCAGCCCCTGGGTTGGGACCTTTTGGATGTGTGGCTGTCCTGGCTCCCTGCATGAGGCCACATCCCCACCACCTCTGTCCTTACTTGTTCACAGAAGGGGCAGCTGGGTTCAATTCTGCCCCCCACCCCTCCTCCTGGCCTGTCAGGGCTGTAGTAGTACCTGTGAGGTGTGGCCAGGAGGGGCCTCTGGCTTCTGCCAGGTCTCTGCTTTAAGGGCCTCCTTAACTCCTCCACCCTCCATTTCCCTCAGTTTGGACAGGAGGAGGCTGGTGGGAGCCCTGAGCGCCCCTGATGGCATTGACCTTACCCTCGACCCCCACCCCTTGCTCCTGCCCTGCCCAGGGCCTGGGATCATAGAGCTGCCCGCCCCAGAACAGCCAAGACCCCCAAGCCTTATCGCTGTCTCCCACCTGCCAGGCTGGCCAGATCAAGGAAGGGATGGGGGACTGGGCCGGGGCCAGGGCGGCTGCTTAATGACCCTCCCGGGGCCTAATCTCAGGCTGGCAGCCGCTCAGTGGCTCAGGCTCGCTCCTGGAGGAGGCTGATAACACACCAGCTGGGCCCCCATCATCTACTGGGCGGCACTACCGGTCCTGGGGCGGTCTCCCAGGGACTGGGGCAGGGCTGGAGTAGGCTGGGCTGGGAGGGGCTCTGGGTTCCCGGAGTGACTGCGTAGCCCCCCTCCCCTTTCTAACAGCAGTGGCTGATCCTTGCGCATCTCCTCTTTCCCGCTCCCTCCCCATCCTTTCTCTCCCTGAGCCAGCCTGGTCTCCTCTCCGTCTCTTAGCCTCTGCTTTCACCTCTGGTCTCTCCGCTCTTCCTCCCCCTTCATCTCCCTCACAGAACTCACAGTCGACTAACCTCTGTCCCTTAGCATCTCTTCTGGTTCCAGAGCTTTCTCCCTGATCGCCTGCCAGTTCCTCAGCTCTCCGCAGCCCGTTTTCCTGATGTTACCCCCTTGGCTCCCAAGGCCCCGGGGTTCTTCCCAAAGCTCACTTTGTGCAAGTCTTCCTTCCACTGATTCCTTCCACTAGCTCTGCCCAGCTGAGAACTGCAGGTCTTCCTGAAGCCCCAGAGGGCTCTGGAGACCAGGATCTTCTTGACTAATTGGGAAGGTCTTGGCCTTCTGGAACAGGGCTGGCAGCTTTCTTTCCCCTGTCCCACTTCAAATAGGTGAATTTCACAGGCAGGCATTATAGGTTATAGACAGGAAAGGGAAACCTCCACCTCTGCCCACCCCTGCACAAGTAGAATCTTGTTGGAAGCAGGAGGACTTTGGTAGATTTGAAGAGGAATTATCTGTCTGGGGTTGATATTGAAAAGGCTGTAGAGTTCCATCTCCAGAGTCTCTCTGGTTGTGGGACAGAGTAAATGTGGTCAAGAAAAGTTTCACGGTCTCCTGTACTCAGTGTAACATGCAGAAAGACCACCTGCTTTGGGCAGGGTGTTCTTTCCCAGCTTCACTGAGGATAGAGGGAGGGTAATAGGGGTAGGATGGGCAGAGTCACAGCTGTCCATTCTCCTGGGCCAGCCTCTGGTGTCTGGAGCCATCAGAACTTGTTCTGGGAGGCATCTGCTACTTGCGCAGACCTGGCTGAGGGTCTGGACTCTGCAGCTCAATTCTCCTCCCAGTTTTTAGCTGCTGTCAATGTGCCAGCTTGAGACTCCTGGATTCTGGTTCAAATCCCAGCTCCACTTCTCTCAGGTATGAGCTCCCTTAGACTTTCAGATCCTTGCCAATAAAATTGATTTTGAAAGAACTTTCTTTCAGGGCTCAGAGTCGCTTCTCCAGTGCCCCTCCCCCGTCCCATCTCTGGGTGGCTTCAGGCCCTGCACCTCCCTCCCTCTTTGCACCTGCCCCACTCACCCACTGCACTGGCTGTTTGCTTGTCTGCATCCAGGTCTCGCTCCATTCAAGGGCAGGAATGGGGCTGCATCCCTCTTTATGTCCCCAACACCCAAGATAGGACTTGTACAAGGACAAAGGAAGTTCAGGATGGGAAGAAGAGACACAAAGGAAGAGGACTAAACTCTAACAGTCTGTTTGGCTATATGTGTTCTCTAATCTCTCTACCCACCCCAGGGTGTATGCACACGAGACGTATATACTCGGGCACACTTATGTCTTCTCTTCCCCCTACCCCTCTGTGGTGGAAGGTTCTAGTGGATGACTGTCTCTGAAATATGACAGCAGCACTGGTCCACTGAGCCTTCAGTTTCCTGAGCTGTTTGCCCTGTCTGCTGGTGGCCTTGGCTGCCACCTGGTGGCTACCTACTATTCAAGAAGACAGGGCTCTGCAGAACTCTTCCTTCCCTTTAGGTGTGAGGACCAGAGGCCTTTCTTGAGACTCCTCCCTTGTGGTGAGAGTCGCTAGGCCTTCCTCCCACTGCGAGGGCTTCTGGGCCTCTCTGTGTTTGCAGTGGCCACGTCTGGGAATGTCTCAGGCTCGGCAATGTACAGGCAGAGTCAGGCTTTTGGGAATTTAACAGTCCTGTTCCTCATGCCACACGTGCTTCTCTCAGAAATAGCCCAGAATCCCAATGGTTTCTTCTGTGGGTATTTTTGCTCAGGGAGTAAGAGGTAACAACACTTGTGGGTCTTTGTCCCTTGAAGGCCCTGGCTTCCCAGAAAAGCAAAATAGAAACAAATTAGAGCTGGTGTCTGTGGCTCACTTTTGTGGTCCTAGCTGCCTAGAAGGCTGGGATCTTAGGGTTCTGATTCAAAGCTAGCTTGGGCAGACAAATCTGAGACACTCTTTTCTGCAATTAAG